TTCCAACGTTTCTCAAAACAACTTTTTTTTGCATGAAATATTGATAATTTTAGCGCGGTTTTCTTGAAATTTGAGTGTTTTCAATGCAAGGAAGGCGTTATAATATAAATGTATACGTGTAGATCAGGTATGGTATTACGGAATGTAGGCCTATAGACTGGTGTTTGTATCAAGTTGTTTTCTTTTTTATACTCTGCAAGGATGATTTCGAAATGTTAAGGCTTTCTAAAAAACTATCAAATTTTTCCATGATATTTACAAAGAAACGTCACAGATGCAAACCCACCCCCTCTCCCACCCCCAAACGAACATATGACGTTTCTCGTGGATAAAATTGATATGTGAGACTTCCCTTACATTTTAGAGCATTGCTGTATAAAACCTGAGTATCAGCCTCTATTTTACAAATAAGAGCCTGACACAAACCTTAATCCGATCGCTTTCCGCCCACAGCAAAATTTATATTTAGTATCCAATCAAAATGTCGCAGGAGAAATTCAAATTTCATACGACAATAACAATCTAATTATAGTTGTGATCACTGTCAATTTATCAACGACACTAGTAAATCTAATTAGCACTAACCAATCAAATTACAGATTAACAATTCAAATATTAACAAATCAAGATTAACAAACCAACAATTCAATGATTTACATCTAAATAACAAGAAATTGTAACAAACCTTCCACACAATTATGAACTTCTGCCATCATGGTTCCTGATTGATGACTACACATTCACATCCACAAGTCTATAACTTGGAGTAATACACTCTTCATTTTCATCATGACTACGTATACCTGTAGGTCCAAGCTATCGGAGGGAAAACCATGATGAACAAGTTTCTGCCGCGATGTACTTTACAGGAGTAGATCATTGATCATACACCGATTCGAAAAAGAGTTGTCAAGTCTGGAGGACTGTGGCGAGTTACACGAAAACGAGGCTAGTCAGGTTGTTGTTTTTAGTCAGGAAATTGACAAAATAATACTAAAAATTATACGAAGTTATATAAAAGGTTTTCATGGAAAAATTGTTGTTTAAAGCTGCATGCGATCGCACTGTTGTGTACCTCTTTGTTCTCAGCAAGGATACCGACTCTCAAATGGTGAAAAGGTTTCATATTTCAACTTTCCAAAAGATAAAACTGCACGTAAACAACGGATTCATGCAATAAGGCGCGACGAAGGGAACTATTTTAAAATTCATGACAAGACAAAGGTTTGTTCTCTTCATTTTAAGCCTGACGACTTAAAGAAATCTTTAAATGGAAGAATATTTGTAAAGGAAGGAAATATTTCTTCAAAGTTTGAGTGGAAGCTAGAATCGCCGAAGAAACGAAAAGCACCAACAGTCCGACAGCCACTAGTCAAGAACTCAACATGCAACAATGTTCGAAGTATTTCTTCACATGCAGATTTCACAGTCAGTAAAGTCGATGACAACGAGGAATTATTGAAGGAAGAGGTGACAGACTTAAAACGCGTACAGGAAGTATTGGAACGAACTATTAAACACACTGAAGATAGCCTTCGCGATGCAAAAGAAACAATCTCTAACCTTCAACAAGAAAACTGTGATCTTAAAAAGAGTATTTGTTTAATTCAGGAAGAAAGCGTTCAGAACAGTGGACACATGAAGAAACAGAGGAAATTATTGAACCATTGTTGAATTTGAACAGTCTAACGTCCGACCAAGATATTGCTTTCTACACAGGATTTCCCAACTATGATATATTTGTAGCACTTTTTAATTACCTTAACCCTGGGACACATGGGGAAAATATAAGGTATGTGAGGGAAAACCAAATGATTTTTATGTTGCCATCGACGATGGTGAACCAGAGAAGGAAAATGGTGATCGAAAGAAGGGAAGGTCAAAAACCTTAAACCAATTGAAGAATATTTTATGGTGTTGTGTAGGTTACGCTGAGGTTTTTCAATACAGCATTTATCACACTTGTTTGGTGTCGCATAATCCAGTGTAAGCAGAAGTTTGACAGCCTGGATCAACTTTATGTACTTAAAGTTTGGTCAAATTAACCTCTGGCCATCGAAGCAACTTATGCAAGACACTATGCCTGATGTATTTAAAGAAAATATCCAAACACTCGTGTCATAATAGACTGTACCGAAATAAGATGTGAGATGCCGGGCAGTTTATTATTGAATGGTGAACTGTTCAGTTCTTATAAGAACCACACAACGCTTAAGGGATTGATAGGGATAGCACAAAGTGGAGCCATTACTTTAATAAGCCAGCAATATACAAGGGGTCTATATCTGACCGGGAGATCGTGATTCGAAGTGGTTTCCTTGACCAAGCTTTTGTTGATGGTGATACAGTCATGGCTGATAAAGGATTCACCATACAAGATCTTCTACCATTGGGGACAACTCTGA